TAGCCCGTGCAATGGTTCTGAGTGCACTAAATGGTTGTGTTATGTTGTGGATGACTATCAAAACGCTACCACAATTTGATAATGCAACATTAATCGGTTCAGTTCCGATTGCGGTCGATCCATTTTCTTCCCATCTTATCGCAACCGTAGACGCCTTACCGCCGCAGGCGCTATGTGCTCCTAATCGCGAAATCGCCGTTCTCATCTGGTATCCCCCTCACCACATCATATCCCAGTGACCCTATTTAACTGGCGCCCACTCCCGCACGTGGATGCAGCCGCCACGTGAGCAGCTGGTGCAACATAGGGACACTACGCCGCCACTGTTCTTACCACCGCCTTGCTCGTGCTCACGTCCAGCTCCCAAGCGCAGCTCCTGCAATAGCACAGAGTCTATCACAGTGGTTGGCTTAGATAGGGGAGCTATTCACAATCCAAACAGCTTCCTAGTTCGTTGCTGTAACATGGATTAGCTTGCAGTTTTGCTAGGGTTCTTTCCTTCTGTCTTGCCGCCTGCTCCTATCCAAGCGTACGCTACGCATCCCCTTACTGTACCCAGTTTGCCCGATTCAATCCATATGCCTCCTTCCCCTGGGCTCAGATCCGACTGAGTACGCGCAAGGGAAGTGAGGATGGGAGAAGGGGGTCACTCGATACTAACTCCCACCTTCCTCACCTCACCCCATTCCGTACTCGCCACTTGTTTCCTCATCCATTGCGCGTTTCTACTGAAACGCGCGCTACGCACCCCTCACTGTACCCCCCCCCTCCCCGCGACCCCTTCCCTCTGCCTCCCTCCAATACATGTGCTCAGCTCCGGCTGAGCACATGCAGGAGAAGGAGGCAGGGCGACCTGGCACCCCCACCCTGCCCCGCACGAGCACACGTCCAGCTGCCACGGCAGCAGCTCGTGCAATGGCTCGGAGTGTACCGAGTGGTTGTCTTATATATGCTGTTATCACAATCAAAACATTGGATTGATACATCTGCACCGATGGGTTCCCGGTTTGGCTAGCGGTCGTTTCTTCTTTCACTGTATCACCTGTATCACCTGTATCCGACTTGTCCTCGTGTGTTACGCCATCCACGCAAGTCGACTTTGATCCATTCATTCCGGTCTTGTGCGCGTCTTTTCCACTGTTGGCCGAACATTTTCACCATTGGATCGGCCCATCTCGTTTTAGGCCTTCCCAGCGGTCGTTTGCGATCCAAGGGATCCAATCAGTGAGCCGGGAAGTCCATCTGTTATCTCTCAGACGCGCCACATGGCCGGCCCATTGCTCGTTTCCTTTTATACAATTCCTGGACAATATCAACAAAGCCACTTCGCCTTCGAAGTTCCGTGTTCGAGATATGATCACGCAATGATATTTTGCAAATTCTGCGTTCCATTGACCGTTGCGTGACCGCGAATTTCTCTTCGTCTGCTTTGGTGGTTGACCAGCACTCAGCGCCGTACAGTAATGCGGGTACAACTGTGGAGTGAAACAGTGACGCTTTTATTTCCATCGCAAGGCTTTCGTCTAGCAGTGTCGTTGAGATTTTGTTGAAGCTAGTCCATGCTGCTTTCCTGCGCCTGCTAAATTCTCCTCCAGCGCCCTCTGTAAAGCTGAGCTGGTACCCTAAGTAGACGTAATTCTGGACTTCTTCTATTTTTTCGCCTTCGACTGTAATCTCCGTCATAGGACTGAACTGGTTTCTCATCCATTTCGTTTTGGAGAGGTTCATCTCGAGTCCAATCTCCTTTGATTTATTCTGAAGTTGAACCAGCTTGTCCTGAAGCTCTCTTGCGTCTTGTGCAAAAATGACGCAATCGTCCGCAAAAAGCAAATGCGTGAGATTTTCGCCGTCGATTTCGATGCCGCCGCTCCAATTCAAACTTCCGAAGAGGGCCTCCAGTGTTATTGCAAAGAGCTTCGGCGAAATTGTGTCTCCTTGACGTACTCCCTTGCAAATCTTTATATGACAGGGGTCGTTGAAGAGCTTGATCTCTGTACTGCAGCCGTCGTTCATCTCTTCCTAGGAGGTCGACGTAGTTTGTATTGATTCCAAATCTGTTCAACGCATTGAATACTGCGTTCGCTTCAACCGAATCGAAGGCTTTCTTGTAATCGACAAACGCCAAGCATAGGGGAATTTGGAACTCTCCACATTTTTCCGTAAGCTGACGTACAACATGTAAATGGTCCATCGTGGAATAACCGCTCCGGAAGCCGGCCTGTTCTCTACTCGTAGCCATGTCTAAGTCCTTGACGATACGGTTCAAGATTATTCTCGTGAAGGCTTTGGATATTTGTGACAAAAGCGTGATGGGCCTGTAGTTGTTCAGACTCTCAGGATCTCCTTTTTTCATCAGCAGTATCGTCTTCGATCTCTTCCACGCCGCTGGAACTTTTCTTTCAATGAAATATCTGGTGAAACGTTCTGCCAGCGCTTTGAATAGGTTATTCCGCCTGCTTTTAGGTGTTCAGGTCGAATGTTGTCACTTCCTGGACTTTTTCCAGACTTCATTCCCTTCACTGCATGCTCGACTTCTTCCCACATGACTTCTGGGACCGGTTCTCTGACAGCAGTTGAGTGGACTTTTGTGACAAACACCTTTGAGGAGTACAAATCGTTAAAAAACTTCGTGCAGATTTCATTCATCCGCTTTCGATTTGTCGTGCGAACACCTAGATTATCCTTGAGAGCGGAGGGAAATTATTACGGCTATTCGCGTAGCAGCTGAGCGTGACCTGTAGGGTGGCTGAGCGGGGAATAGCTGAGGTTAGTTTGGGGATAGGTGAGGTGAAGGGGTACCATATTGGCGCGACCGACGCTCGCCTGAACAGGAGCACGCAGCGACTGCGGAGACCGAAGCATCCATGGCTGTCATGAGATGGGGAGGAGAGTAATCGATTATCCATGACCAGATTTTGAACTTTTCATTATGAAAGTGCCCTGCGATCATATGGCGCGTTTCTACATTCATTTGATTAGAAGACAGCGATTAGTCACGACTCTAAAGCAGTTGCATGAGCCCGGCGAAGCCGGGCTTCCAAGAAGGAGGAGAGCTCGGCGTTAGCCGGGCGATCCGACTGGTGCAAATAATAATTGGTAACCTGTCGACGGCATGTTGTATTTCCATGACTGCTTGCTTATTTTTGTAAGAAAGAGCTCATTGTTGTTGTCACCAGTGTATGCAATGTACACTCCGAAGCATAATCATACCACCCATGGATCTCAAATCCCGTCTTGCACGACGTTTTCAAAAATGCCGCCATACAAAAAATGTGGCTATCACCAATACCAGTTCGCACGGCACACCAAACACTACCTTGAAAGAACACTTTTTTTATCGTCATTTTTCTAAAAAATGGTCTTTCTGACAATGCGAATGACAGCTCCACCGCATTTTTCCGCCGCATTTCATTTTCGTGAAGTAAAACTTTTCATCATTATGACTTCTTGAGTTTTCTAGGATATGGCAAGTAGAGTTCATTATGGACCTCGAAAAAGGACAAATTATCGCAAAAAGACTCAAAAACAGTCGTACCGTCGAAATGCGCGGGATTTGGGCCATCATGCTGTCAACATTTTGCCAAGGAACCTACAGAACATTGAGTTGAGAAGAGCTCTGGACATCTTTTTTTGCTGCCCGATCTGCGCCGTATCTTGAGAAAAGCATCCAACTCTTCAGTGTCGTGTCGGGAAATGAGGCAGCGTTCATACTTCGCGACAGCAGCGGCGATCGCGGTGATCGCGGCGATCTCGGCGACATCGGCGATCGCGGTGATCGCGGCGATCTCGGCGACCATCGGCGATCGCCGCGATCGTCGGTACATGGCAGAGCGCGCCCCAACGCTATTACTTGCGCTCCGAAGGCTTTTGGGAAGAAGCGACTCAATTCATTTTTTTTCCTTTAACTGCAATTTTCTTAGATACTGAAGCTTGGTTTGACACAAAGAAAGGTGAACCCAACTTAATGGCTTTTGTTTTCTATTTTCTTTCTTGATTCAGGATAGAAATGAGCAAAAAGCGTGAGAGCTTCATTTAGGGTAGGTTTTTATTGTTTCTTTTTTCTTTCGTCGAGCTTATGCATGGGGTTATCTCGATGTAAGAAGAAGTGAAACCTCCTTACCTCATATTCCAGATCCGCTTATGTATAGAAAGTCGTAAGTTATCAGTTAGTAGCCATTATTAAGAGAAAAGAAGGTCTCACAAGTTGGATTTCCTTATTTATCAAGCGAGCAGTCCATAATAGCGTTGGGGCGCGCTCTGCCACGTACCGACGATCGCGGCGATCGCCGAGGTCGCCGCGATCGCCGCGATCGCCGCTGCTGTCGCGAATGTATGAACGCTTTAAAGACACATGGTACGCTCAAACACATTGAGGGTGTATGAGACTATCAGCCCCCAGCTGTCGATGTGTCGTGGTCCCCCGCCCAAAACTGCACGGGGTCAGAGTACGGGGCCGTGGGAAAGTCGTAATTCCTTGCTACGCCGCCGTTTCGCACTCACGTTTTTACTAAGCGCGGCGCGGTCGCGTGCAGCTCTCTTGGCTTTTTGCCAAGTCCTGTAATTGCGCTTTGGAATACAAGTACAACGCAATTTCTTTATGCGGATAACATTTTAGGTTGCTGCAAAATAAGAACTGAAGATGATGACGAGGGCTAGAACTCAAGAGCAACTGTGGTGCTTCTGCAATATCCCTCAGAGGCCGCGCATTCCCACAGAACATGACAATAAAAACGGCCTAAGCGTCCCACTCGTTAGTTTGAAGTATTTCTATAGCTTTAGAGCCGGATTCGAGCCGGATCGCAGAAATGCACACGCGATTTTAATTTATTGCGTTTCCTTAGTTTTTTCAATTTTGTTTTATTTACATCTACATTCGTTGTTGTTCATTTCTAGCCTTTGTCATCTTCATCACCTTCTATTCGGACTTTGAAGCATGAGCAATACCTCAAATGTTAGGAAATTGCGTTTTGCTTGTATTGTCATGTTTTATTGTCATGTTGTCCGTTTTTATTGTCATGTTCTGTGGGAATGCGCGGCCTCTGAGGGTTGCAGAAGCAGCACAGTTGCTCTTGAGTTCTAGCCCTCGTCATCATCTTCGGTTCTTATTTTGCAGCACCTAAAATGTTATCCGCATAAAGAAATTGCGTTGTACTTGTATTCCAAAGCGCAATTACAGGACTTGGCAAAAAGCCAAGAGAGCTGCACGCGACCGCGCCGCGCGGATGGTGTTAGCATAAACGTGAGGGCGGTGTAGCAAGGAATTACGACTTTCCCACGGCCCCGTACTCTGACCCCGTGCAGTTTTGGGCGGGGGGACCACGACACATCGACAGCTGGGGGGCTGATAGTCTCATACACCCTCAATGTGTTGAGCGTACCATGTGTCTTTAAACCCAGTTAAGGATGTGAGGGGCTTCATGGTGCGTATGATCTATGCGAACGATGCACAATTCCACAATGTCCGTGAGCTTAGGGAGTTAATCATTGGTGCAGTCGGCCGAAAGCCTATTGAAAAGTTGTAATTGAGCATGGGCAGTCGTATTTTCCAACTTAATCGGAGAAGTACACTGCTCCACATAATGATAGTTCCATCCATAAATCCTGCATAATCTTGCCTCACACCGTTTTCAAAAATGCCTCGAAGTATGAATAGGAGTAATTAGCAATGCCAATTCGCATGCCAGCAACAGAAACTTGAGAGAATAAGTTTTTTTTTTCTTTTTCTTGAAAAGTCGTCACTCTGACAATTCAGGTTAGTTCCAAAAGACAAATCGATTCATCCAACAACAAGTGTACAACAAAATGAATAAATTGTTGATTCAGTAATCTATTGGAGCTCCATTTCTCCGAATAAGTTGGAAAATGCGGTTGTCTATGCTCGAATAAAGGTTTTAAATCAGTTTTCGGGCGACATGCTGTCATGCATCAATGACTGGCTTCTGCTCGCGGACAATGTGGAATCGTGCATTGCTCGCATAGATCTTACGCACCATAAAGCCCCACACATTCTCGATTGGGTTTAAGTCGGGCTATTCGCTGGCCAGGGCAAAAGAGCGATTTGATGACGACTGAACCACGCTCGAGTGCTTCGACTGGCATGAATTGGTGCATTATCTTGCACGAAAACGAGGTCTTCTTGCCGATTTCTACGCCAGAAAGGAAGAGACCTCGTCGCGTGGCGTTTGTATAAACGAGAGACTACATTTTCTTAGAATGAAATACAAGTAGACGTCCCTTTGATGTGAAGGCAGCCTAGACCATGGCACCACCTCCTCCGAAGTTCCGCCTTAAAAAAAAGGGCGGTTCTCTTTCCTAAGATCGTGCCAGTAGAATCAATTTCCATCTGGTCCGTCGCAGTGAATTTTTTCTCATCAGAAAACACGACCTGGAGAGACATACAGGCAGTTGGGCACTGCTGCCATAAGTTAACCTTACTCCAGTCGGTTCGGCAACATCTCCTAGCAAAGTCAATTCGGTTTTCACGATGCCTTTCTGTCAGAACGGTGCCTTCCTCACTTTCCTCCTGAGAACTCGGACTTTTTCAAGACACGCCAAACAGTCTTCTTTGAGGCGAAGCCTCAAAGTTGACTTTATTCCGAGCACTACGTTGTACTGGATGCTTCTCTTGAAATACGGCGCTTGTCCCGATCAGAGAGCGAAGGAGGACGCCCAGAGCTCTTCTTAACTCCATATCCTGCAGGTTGCTTGACAAAATTGTTGATCACATGATGACTGCGGCCCAAATCCCGTGCGATTTGACGGTTCGACAGTCCTTGAGTCTTCTTTGCAATTATCTGTCCTTTTTTGAAGTCCTATAATGAATATCCTCTTGCCATAGCCTAGAAAAGGCAAAGAGTCACAACCCAGGCAGAGAGGCAAAGAGTCGTTTTACCCAAGAAGAATGAGGCGCAGCAAGAAAACTTGAGGTGAAACTATCATTTGGTAGAATCGTGAGAGTGACCACTTTTCAAAAAAATGAAGAAAAAAACTCATTCTCTCAAGTTTTAGTGTTGGCATGCGAACTGGCAATGGACATTACCACATTTTCTATTTGGGGACAGTTTTGAAAACGCCGTGTGAGACGGGATTTTGCAAGATTTATGGGTGGAACTATCATTATTTGGAGCAGTGTAGAGCTCCAATACATTATCGGATCGGCCCTATTCATTCTGTTTACATTTGCTGTTGGATAACTTGGTTTGTTTGGTGGAACTATCATTTTGCTGCATTGTCAGAACGACCATTTTTCAAAAAATTGACGAAAAAAATTGTTTTTCAAGTTAGTGTTTGGTGTTGGCATGCGAATTGGTATTGGTAATTACCACATTTTTTGTATGGGGGCATTTTTGAAAACGTCGTGTAAGACGGGATTTTGTGAGATTCATGGGTGGAACTATGATTATGCTCCGCAGTGTATGTCTTTGTTGACCGGAGGAGGGGCTCAAGGCCCGAAATACCCTAAATGTTAAAGAGTTTCATTCGAAGAACACAGAAAGAAACCTGACGACATGAAGCTCACAGCGTTTAGGATCTTATCCCCTCCAACTTCATAAAAACTGACTCCTTCCAAAAGCTACCAAAAGCTGGACAAGGTAATGCATTTGTTTCGCTTTACTCACTGATTCATCCATAAGCAGTGCACTATCGAAGCTTGTTCCTCAAGAACAGTTGTTTCCAATAACATTTCTACTAAATCATCTGCCTTCATCGAGTTCATTTGTTGCTGAGAGAAGTCTTTACGCCTGAAACTCTTCCAGTTGTTCCGAAACTAAGTGAAATCAACGGAGTAAAGAAACTTGCTGAATAAAACAATGGAAAATAGGGGCTTTCGGTCTTCATAGCAATGTCTCACTGTTTCAGTTTGCTTGCGACGAATACCACCCCCAGAGAATCGCTCCACAAATTCCGGAAATAGATTCGTTTCCGTCCCAAGACGTGTGTGTAGGTGTTCCTTTCATTGCAAATGGGCGGATCGTCTTTGGAGTATCCTTGTAAGTTGAATTATGCAGCTACCTATGAAACTTTCATACGCAGAATGATCGCCTTCAGTGGTGGCAAACTGTAACAACAACCTGCACGCAATTTTATTCTGAGTCCGCTTGCGCGGGTTTTATTGTTATTTTACATAACAACGAATATCCCCAATTTCCTTAAAAGTCTCGCACCTCACTAGTAAAAAAGTGGTTTTGGAATACTATTGCAATACGATGGGCCAACAATTTTAACTTAAGAACCTGAATTCGTTGTAGTGTTGATGTAACTGTGAAACCACTGGCACTATTACTACAGAGAACCTCTTTACTCAGATTGATTCATCAAATCAATCAAATACAATCTAATTCCTCAGCTATAAAATGTTATAACCAAAGCCATCGTGTGAATACTAGAATTCTGCGTTGTGGGCAAAAAAAAGTGATCTCTGGCGGGACTCAAATTCGAATCAAAGGGCGAACAATGGTGGCAAAAACCCACACTATAATACTAGCTTGGCTGACGCGCACATCTGCGTGCATGGTTCAGTCCATGGATATGACCGGAGTTATATGACGCCGGTGAAGCTCCCATTTTGAGGCCCCTACGTCGGCCCTTGTCAAGAGTTATCTTTTCTTGTCATCCACCTATGATGTTCGCATCCAGCCTCCTATATCACTTCTTGGAACCAACGTTCCATCGTTGCTGTGACGCGAGTTATGATTTGGTGACCCTCCCTTTTGAGGCCCCTTGTAAGCCCCTGTCAGCTGTTGTCACCTCCTGCCACCCACCAATGATGTTCACGTTCAGCCCCTATATCACTTCATGGACCAACGATCCACCACTGCTATGACGCGAGTTATGAGTTTGGTGACCCTCCCTTTTGAAGCGTCTTGTGAGCATCTGTCAGCTGTTATCACTTCCTGCGGCCTAACAATGGTGTTCCTGCCTGTCTTCCTACACCATCTATCAATTTGAACATTCAACGTTGATTTGAAGAAGTTATGCATTTCTGGTCAACACGCCGTTACGTTGTCCCAAAAGTTCGTGACATTTTTCAAATATCGTATCAAATCTTTCCGTCGCTCCGTATTTCGAGATCCAGTTATGTGGTCTATGGGAAGTTTGTCAAGTGGGCATTCCACAGTTGCCGTCCCTCGCAGTCGCTGCTGTCATATCCAAAACGGTAGATGAAATTCATAATTTTTGTCACACTTCGCTATATGAATTTCCACCAAGTCACAACCTGGTTGGAGCCACACGCGGCATTTGCTCTGAGTTAGGTCCTGATGCTACCTTCCATAGTACGGCGTTGGAATGGCTCGATCACATTCGTTTGAAGGATTTCTACCTTGGAGACAAACATTGACTAGCGAGAAGCCCATCGCTTTGGATTCAGCCCTACTGCGTCCCTTGATTGAAAACAATTCATACAAATCAACTCGCTTTTTTATTACCTACCAGTCGGATCACCCGGCTGCCGCCGGGTGCTCCTCCTTCTTTGTCACGGCCCGGCTTCGCCGGGCCGGCCTGGCTTCGCCAGGCACTCTTTCCTTAGGCGAGGTAGAGTGTGCAAAATACGCCTAACCGTCACAGTGCATTTTAGTAGGATGCTTGTCTGTTCCAAAAGCACAAGTGACAGAGATCCTCACTCCCTCAAGTAAGTACTGATTGTGAAGTTCTCTCATGAGCTGACCGATACTAAAGGAGAAGGGTATGTGGATATTGTCTAAACTTCCTCTCCCGCTCCCACCATACACACCGGTTTAACAACAGCTGTGACTGGACAAGGAGTAGGCGTTTCTGGGAGAACCGCTTTTGGAAGCGCCAGTGGCTAGATCCTCCAGGAAGGGCAGAACCGGTCGTGCAATCCCATCAATACAGTAGGAAGGTGATACTGTGCGTGTGGTGAACCATTCATGGGGTTTACAGCAGGGAGTTTCTTCCTCTCAACGCTGTGGTAACCAGCCAGTCCTCTTGTGGTTGACTTGGTTGACTACAGAGGGAGAATGAAAACCCCCACCTCTTGGTCCCACAACCCAGCAATGATTGCTTACTCCTTCACAGTTCGGTGGCATATTTCCAAAATGACACTGCCCGGGTTCTTGAGGCTTAGCTGGTGAACTTCACGTCTTCATGTAGCCCTGACTTAGTTCCATCTGACTGCCATCTGAACTAATCCCTCTGCGGCCACCTTCTGGGTGAAATACGATTTGCAAAAGCACCTCAAAAAAGACCCGGCTGCCTTTCTCGACACGGAACTAAAAAGCTTCTAAGCAAGGCAACCATTCTTTGCTCGGTGATTGGCAACAAGTTGCCGGTGAAGGTACGATACAGTGCTGCTCAAAAGTATTCGGCCAGACGCTTCCTCGCCCGTATCTTTTTTCTCACCCAACCAATTCATTTCAAACTTTAGTATGTTATACCGACCACCAGTTTGAGGCAGGGATAGCCGAGTGGTTAAGAGTGTAGACTCACGTTCACACCCTGAGCCAGTTCAATCCCTGCCGAGGCACAAACCTGCCTTGCAAAATTGCAAAAATGGGGACGATACCAGCGTCAGGCCCAGGTTGACAGGCCGGCTGATGGAGGAACCCGTCACAACAATCATGACAAGTCGCAATAGAATCAGTGTTAATGCTAGGACGTCACCCGGAAGTGGCGCGCAGAACCCTCGCCCGAGTTCTGTGGTCAGTATGCGAGGGCTACCGAGGGGTGAACGACCTCGGCCAAAGAAGCTAGTTCGAATTGGGACCCTGAACGTGGGGTCGCTTACCGGGAAGTCTCGTGAGGTTGCCGACCTCATGAGACGAGGAATATCCAAGTCCTATGCCTTCAGGAAACGCGATGGAAGGGTGCGAAGGCCCGCGAGATTGGAGAAGGTGTCAAACTCTTCTACAATGGAGCAGACACCAAACGGAATGGCGTGGCCATAGCGGTGGCAGAATCCCTCAAGGACTGCGTCTCTCTGTGAACAGAATCAGTGATCGGATCATGGGAGTGAGAATGGACACGAAGGAAGGGTACTGGACCGTACTGACCGTGTACGCACCACAATCCGGTTGCTCCGAGGCGGAAAAGGATGAGTTCTACCTGACCCTGGACGAGGCCATAAGATCGGTTCCGGAAGATGACTACCTCACCATAGCTGGGGATCTGAATGGCCATGTGGGAAATGACAGAAGGGGTCTAGAAAGGGTGCACGGAGGCCAATAGGTGCAAAGAACGCTGAGGGAGAACGGATCCTTGACCTAGCCACAGCCCACGACTTAGCAATCTGTAGCACCTTCTTCGCGAAAAGGACTCAGAAGATAACCTACAGCAGTGGAGGGAGACAAACGGAAATCGACCATGTCCTGGTCAGAAGATCGTCTCTCAAAACCGTCAAGGATATCAAGGTACTGCCTGGGGAAGAGCTGGGCCCTCAGCACAGGCCTCTCCTGGCAGACATCGCCATAGACCTCCCCAAGAAGACGAGGGTGAGAGCAGAGCGGAGAATTCGGTGGTGGAAAATGCGCAAGGTAGAAAAGGATAGCCTCGGCCGAAGAATACTGGAGGCTGGGCTCCCAGACCCACATGGGCCAGTCCAGGACACCTGGACCTACGCAGCAGAGGTCATCCTACAGTGTGCCAAGGAAGTCCTGGGAGAGACGCGAGGTGGTATCAGAGGAGACAAGGCAGCCTGGTTCTGGAACGAGGAAGTCCAGGGGATCGTCAAGCAGAAGAAGGAAGCATACAAACGCTGGCAAAAGACACGGAGCCCAGAAGACTACGCTGCCTACAAGAGCTGCAAGCGACTCGCTAAGGCAGCCGTTGCTAAGGCCAAGAATACGGAAATGGACGCCTGTACGAGAAGCTGGAAGGCCGAGAAGGGGACAAGTTCGTCTTCCGCCTGGCTAAAGCTCGGCATCGCGCGGCTCAGGACATCAGGGTCGTAAAGACTGTGAAGAGCAGCAACGGGGCCATTCTCAGGAAACCAGCCGAAGTCAGAAAGAGGTGGGAAGAATACTTCGGGGAACTACTGAACGAAAAATTCCCCCGCAAGGACAGCCCATAGATAAAGCGGCCCATCACTCCCTGGACGAAGCCCTGATAGCGGACAGCATTGAATAACTCCAGGACAAGGTGCAGCGGTGGCAGGATGTGCTCGCTGAGAATGGACTCCGGTTGAACGTGAAGAAGACCAAGTTCCTGAGCTCTGAAGAGTGTACCGAACCCATCGTAGACCGTCACGGCGAGAGCATCGAAAGGGTCGAGGACTTCCAGTACCTGGGGAGCGACCTAGCAGCTAGTGCGGTGAAGACCCGAATCAACGCAGCCTGGATGAAATGGAGGGAGTCCACTGGCATCCTGTGCGACCGGCGGTGCTCGAGAACGCTCAAGGGCAAGGTGTACCGGGCGGTGGTAAGGCCTACAATGCTCTACGGCAGTGAGTGCTGGCCCATCTGCAAGAACCATGAAAGGCAGCCCCACTTAGCCGAAATGAGGATGCTGATCAGGAAAGGTCAACAGGTCGCCATGGCCATTCAGGATGGGATGCATATTGGCGTGTGCGTCTCGGGACACTGAACTCAAATCTGGTTTCAGAATTTGCGGAACGATTCTCTAGAACGGTTAGGGGGGTGGTTCCAACACAGTACCAGCCGAATACTCTTTGTGCTAGCTTAAGTTGAGTTCGAAAGTATGCAGTGATAAGCGGTCGATGGTGTAGTGGATAGGTAAGTTGCTTCACAGTTGCGAGGTCAGGGGTTCGATTCCTTGGCATGTTCGGGTTTTTGCTTTTTTCCGAAATATATTCTGTGAGTCCAGAGAGAACGTTAAATCCGTTATATCTCGTGTCTGCTCACAGCTGCGCGAGGGATAGAGACCGGCACTTCGTCTGTTGTGCGGGTCTGAAAGCACTACACATGTGCACTCGAATAGTTGCAATTTGACTCGTTCATGTACCATCTAAAAACCAGCTAATTTTTCAAGAGTCTCGAAATTGAAGCACAACAGACGAAGTGCCGGTATTTGACTCTATCCCTTCCGCAAATGTGAGCAGACACGAGATATAACGGATTAGACGTTCTTTCTGGACTCACAGAATATATTTCGGAAAAAGCAAAAACCCTGAGTTGCCAAGGAATTGCACCCCTGACCTCGCAACTGTGAAGCAACTTACCTATCCACTGTGATAGTCGATTTGTGGAGTTTTTGTAAAGAACCTTAATCAACTGGCTTTGCCACCTGAAAAGCGTTCGAAAGTCCTCAACATACAATCAGGATGCTACAGCTTTGATGCAACCTTTAAAAATTTACTCTTCCTACTGTCTAAGTGGATCTATAGACCTTTCACTCCCTACGTAGTACATCCCCATAACAATTTCTCCATACGCAGTCGGGACTCTATTTTTCTTCTCTCTCTAGTTTATTTTCAACTTTGCTCTCCTCAATTTAGGAACTTTTTCTTGCTCCTGCATGTAGCGGGATTCTTTGATGCAAGTCCTGGAACTCATATCACCTGCTCATTATTGATTCTCTTCTGAACTGATGTGACTACACCAGTTAAGGAGACCTTTCATCATTCATTGCACTTATTGTGAGAGGTTGTGTTGGTTCAACCATTTTGTGAACGAACAACACCACATGTGCTCTTGAACAGTTGCAATTTGACTCGTTCATGTACCATCTAAAAACCAGCTAATTTTTCAAGAGTCTCGAAATTGAAGCACAACAGACGAAGTGCCGGTATTTGACTCTATCCCTTCCGCAAATGTGAGCAGACACGAGATATAACGGATTAGACGTTCTTTCTGGACTCACAGAATATATTTCGGAAAAAAGCAAAAACCCGAACTTGCCAAGGAATCGAACCCCTGACCTCGCAACTGTGAAGCAACTTACCTATCCACTACACCATCGACCGCTTATCACTGCGGACTTTCGAACTCAACTTAAGCTAGCACAAAGAGTATTCGGCGGGTACTGTGTTGGAACCACCCCCCTAACCGTTCTAGAGAATCGTTCCGCAAATTCTGAAACCAGATTTGAGTTCAGTGTCCCGAGACGCACACGCCAATATGCATCCCATCCTGAATGGCCATGGCGACCTGTTGACCTTTCCTGATCAGCATCCTCATTTCGGCTAAGTGGGGCTGCCTTTCATGGTTCTTGCAGATGGGCCAGCACTCACTGCCGTAGAGCATTGTAGGCCTTACCACCGCCCGGTACACCTTGCCCTTGAGCGTTCTCGAGCACCGCCGGTCACACAGGATGCCAGTGGACTCCCTCCATTTCATCCAGGCTGCGTTGATTCGGGTCTTCACCGCCTGGTCCACGCTGCCATCAGCTGCTAGG